GTCGGCTCCGCCGCGTTCAGTAAAGCAGGGCAAGAGAACATTAAAGTTGTTAGTTTGCCCCTCGGTCGCAATTGCCTCTGCCGCCGGAGGCGAAGGAGGAGGAGGGGGAGGAGGAACGAGAGGGGAGAGAGCGAACGGGGCAGCACCATCATAAGGGCACTCACCAGATGAGACGGCGAGAGAAGCCTCGCGCTGACTGGAAATCAAAGGCATCTCCAGCGGCAGCTTCACACAAGAGACGCGGTGAACAGCAGACTTCGCCACAGAGAGCACTGGATATGCACGAGCAGGGGCGGCGAAATTGACGGGCGCCTGCTGGCGAGCAAATGAAGTGCAACTGAACGCAAACGAAGAAGCATGCTGCAAACTAGCGCGGGCAATGGACGAGGTGGAGCTGTCGCCATTGAGCACAGCAAGAGAGCGAGCAAGCAACGCTGACCATCGATGGCGAGACAGACGCTGCTGTGCAGGCTCCCCTACACACTGGGCAAGCAAAAGGGGCATCCCCCTCCTGCGCCAAAGAGCGAGCTGCGCCAGAGATCGCACTCCAGGCAGCTGTTGAAAAGCAAGTTCAGATCCCCCCTGGAGCGCTTGCCCATAAGAGCCTTCCCTTGAGCCCAGAACCTGAAGTCCCAAAGAAGCAGGGACACGGCACCCCGAGACGACCGGGAGACGGGCCAGGACCGAAGGATTATTAGGTGCCTCCAGGGGGGGGTGGCTCAGAAGAGTGACCCTTGCCTGCGATGCGGTCAGCGCGAGAACGCGCGGATGCAGAAGGCGCTGGCGGTTCAGCAGCCGCGGGAGGGCCGGGAGCGGCGCCGCCTGCTGGGGGCGCCTGGGGTTCCGGACGGGCCGAAGCTGCCGCGGCCTGGGCGCCCTGGCCATCGCCAGCAGTTGGGGGGGCAGCGCCCGCTGTGCCACCAGCGGCCGCTCCTTCTCCGTCAGCTCCAGTGCGACGCTTCTTCGCCGCCATCCGAGCCGCCAGCGCAGAGTGCTCCGCCTTGAGGCCGTCGACCTTGGACTTAGCCTCCGAGAAGAGGCTCTTTGCCATGGAGGAGATGCCAGTCTTGAACTGCTCGATGCGGTTCTGGAGCTCAGTCTAGTCCTCGGCCGAGAGCTCGTCGTCAACGCCCACCTGGAAGGCGGAACCCACGTCGACGTCGAAGGCAGCCGCAAACTTCTCTTCGTCAAGCAGGTCGTCCATGGAGAGCTTGTTGCCACCGGCCGCTGGCGTGGCAGGGGGCAACTCAGCATGAAGCTTGCGTACGAGATCACCATGCTCTGATTCCGCCGCGACCAGTTCTGCACGAAGTTGAACGACAGCTGAACGCTGCAACTCCAACTGGGACTCGAGCTGGTCGAACTTATTGCAAGCTGCCTCCAACCTCTTCTCGACGCCTCGAGCCTTGCTGTGCGCTTTCTGAAGACGGACCTGCACGGCCTCAGGAGCAGCCGCCGGCTTCTGCAGAGCCGCAGCGGCCGTCTTGTACGCCTCTGCTCCCTGCATGTCGCCCATCTTTGCGCAGAGGCCCGACAACTGGAGGTACTCCTCGCTGGTGAGCGGAGGCGCATCTGCGGCGGGAGCACCTGCACCCGGAAGGGTGGGGCCCTTGCCACCGTCATTGGGGAGCCCCTTGCCTCCTTTGATGCCTCCAGCGCCTGCCGGAAGTCCTTTACCTCCAGCTTTGCCACCTCCATCTGCAGCACCATCTTCGAAGAGGGCCAACGCTCCACCGTAAGACCAGGTCGATGATGGCACCGCGGAGTCGGACTTGAGCGCTCCGCAGTGCTTGCAGAAGTAGAAGCGGCCTTCGTTTTTCTTGCATCCACACCAGCAGCATGTCCACCGCTTGTCAGGAGCATGGCCATGACCAGCATCCACATGAGTAGCAGGCGGACGTTGGAGGCCTGGCACCAACGGCGGCCACTGGGTGTGGTCGCGGCGCCTCGGCACTCGGACGGCTCCAATCCGAGGCGCTTCGCCTTGGAGACCACCAGAGGGAGGAGGACTGGACCACTTCGAGTGCCATGGCGCCCACGCCACGCGCCCTTTACCGCCTCCGACAGCAGAGCCACCCGCCATGCCGCCGATGGGGACGTCGTGAAGAGATGCTCCTGCAGGAGCTCACAAATGGAAGCGTGCGGGTTGAGATCCCGCGAACTGAATGAAATGGAATACGAGCCAATTCAGCCCGCAACAGCTGTGTGCCGTTCTGAGGATAAGCTGTTGCAAGCACAGGCGAAATGCCTGAGCCAGAACGGCTTGAGCCAAAATGGCTACGGAGAGGAGGAGGAGGAGGAGGAGGAGGAGGAGGAGGAGGAGGAGGAGGAGACAGGAGGAAGAGGAGGTTGATGAGAGAATAGAACGGAAGAAGTGTGGAGCAAGACGAGGCAGCGGCGATAATCGAGCTTCAGGCAAGAGGCACAGAGTGTTGTCGGAGAAAGAGAAGGATCCCGCAAGGCGGGAAGCAACGGTCCTGCGTCGCCACGGCCACCTCCTGCCTCGTGTGGTGTTCCGTCGCCCTGCGCATGCCGATTCTTGCGCTGCTCGTGCTGCATCTCGCGCGTTCCACGCTGCACCTTCCGGGCTTGTCGCCAATATGCTGAGGTCATGTTGTGGGATGGATGAGCATTCTTTCCCAGGAGGGCGGATCTGCGTCCTCGAGCGCTGCTGAAGCGCCGCTGTCGGCCGGCGCGGCGCGGGCGGGCGTCACGCTTGCCTGTCTTCCCTTTGCTGCTCCCCTCGCCTTTCTCTTCCGGCGTGGGCCACTACAGCCGGGTCGACTGGAGAGGACACTCGAGAGGACGCGATACCCTTCCGAGGGACCCATTGCCACAGTAATGTAGAAGGCATAGGCCGCGAACGCACAGGACGCAAGAGTACCCTTGAGTTGGCAGGGTCGACCTACTGATCAAACTCGACTGTGCTCGGTGCTCCCTGTGGCAGCACGGTGCCTGTATGTGTTTGGTTGGCGGGCCTCCGAGTGGCGCGGTGGACACGCCGTGCGCCGAGATGGTGGAGACAAGGTGGCCACACGGTCCTGGGACGTGGGTCAGTCGCCACCCACCAAGCCACCCCAGCTCAACCCGAAGGCCTCAATTTGCCCTCCATTTCCAGTGGGGGGGGGAGGCCGGGGAACATTGAGAAATGGAACCCGAATCCCCCCCCAACCCGAAAAATCCGGTTCTTCGGGTTGGGCCGGGGGGGTCTGGCAGGTAGTCGTCTAGGCAGGTTGCCTTCTCATCCGGGGTCCCAGACCAGCCATGGGCCTCCATGTCGACCCTAGGATGCTCCATCCTCGATGCATCGCCGTCGCCGCCGCTGCCGTCGTCGGCGGCGGCGGCGTCGGCGTCGTCCCCGTCGTCGTCGCAGTCGCCGGCGGCGGCTGCGTCGTCGTCGCCGCCCTCATCGCCGGCGTCGCTGGCGTCGCCGTCGGCGTCTCGGCCTCTTGGGCCGAGTGGCGGCGGGGAGGCTCTTCTTCGACCCGTGGAACTCGGACGGGGGCTACCAGCGGCTCAACCCGCTGTTCCAGACCTACCCCGGGGGCGAGGGGAAGGCACGCCGGGCCGCGCGGCTCTGGGGGGGGGAGAGGGTCGACCACACGTGCCCAGTGGTCGTTGAGAGTAGGTATTTCTGGATTCCCAGAGCTCTATATATCTATATATATATATATATGTATATATATACATCAAGGGAGGACAAGTAATAAGAAAAGGTTGGATTCCCAGATCTTCCAGTCTACTTCAGGCGCCTTCCTACTTCCAGGATCGGGTGGCTTCACTTGTTCCGTCCTCTCCAGGGGGCGGGCGGGCACCCCATCCGCTCCAGCGCCTTCCTGCTTCATGCTCGTGCCTTTCCGACCGGCGGACAAGAGGGACCCCTCGCCAGAGTGACCACCTCCAATGGTGCGGGCTCCTTGGGGTCCCCCGGGCCGCTGAGCGCGATGCGTCCGCGGCTGCTCGCGCGCTCGCGCTTGGCCACCCTGCGCCCCCCTTTCTGGCCCGCGCGCCAGAGGGCACTCCTGCCTGGTGATTCGGGTCCCTCTGGCGTGTAGTTAGCCGCGAGGAGAGCGGCCCCGGGCGAGGGGAGCGATGCGGGGCGGCGGAGCGGGGAGGCGGACCCAGGTCCCATGACGGCATGATGCTTGTCATGACGCCGACCCCCAGCGGACTCCTTCCCCTGGACCAGCTTTCCCTCCCGCGAGGCGGTTTGCTGACGGTCCCGAGGGCCGGTACAAGGGCCCCCCGAGCCCAAGGAAACTCTTCCCGTCGTGACTTCCTCACACCTCCTAGGGCCGGGGACCCTGAGAGTTCTGGGCGTTGCATTTGTTCCACGCCGGCGTCTGCGCTCGGCTTCGGGCCCGGGGACCCTCGCAGATCGATCGGGCTGGCGTCAGTGTTAAGTCGGGCCTGTCCCTCTACAGGGGAATATCCAACAATAGTCAAAGAATGTTATGGTGGCCGTTTTTATAGCATCTGTTTGACCATTTTGGAGTATTTCGGGGGTATGTCTTATTTTTCATCCAAAGTGCCCCTGTAGGAGGACAGGCCCGACTTAGAAGCCGGTGCCTCGGAAAGCCGGGGCCCGGGGGCGCCAGCCGCGATCCGCTCGAGATCTGTCGTGGATCTCTTGCGGCGGCGGCGGGCCTCGAGAGAGGGGGCGGGCAGCGAGCAGGGGGACCCAGACCCCCGGTCCTGGGCCCCCCCCCCTCCTCCTCCTCCTCCTGCTCCTCCTCCTCCCTCCTCCCTCCTCCTCCTCCTCCTTCTCCTCCTCCTCTTCCTCCTCCTCCTCCTCCTCCTCCTCCTCCTCCTCCTCCTCCTCCTCCTCCGTAGCCATTTTGGCTCAAGGCCATGGCGCGCGGCGGCGTCCAAATGGATACCGCTGTGCCGCGGCCAGGAGTCGAGATTCCTTTGCAGCCACCCCCAGGGCGAGCTGCCGCCAAAGACTGGTCCACCTGGACCCACAGTTTTGTGCCCGCGAGGGCTCTCCATCGCAACGCATGGCGGCCGAGGAGGAGCGGCGCAGGGCTGGCCGCGCTGGTGGCGGCCACCGTGGCCCTGGCGCTGCTGACGGACGCAGGCGGGTGGACAAAGGCAAGGAGCAGCCTCCCGCCGAGGACATCCGCTCCGCCTCCCGCAGCACCAACGAGCGAGCTCCTGCGCGGAGGCGTGCTCGGCGGGGCCACCCGCGCTCCGACGGCGAAGCGGATGCCTCGGGCTCGCCCGCCAGTGATCGTGCACGCCATGGCCCTGCTGGACTTGACCGCGCTGCACAGGAGGAGCTTGCCGCCGCCATCGAGGCCGCCGCCACCTTCCCCTCGCAGGAGCGGCAGGCCATGCAGGTGGAGCAGACACCCACGGGCAATCCTCAAGCTGGACCTCATCACGCTCAGTCCGACCCGTGGCACTGCCCTGGGGGGGACCCGTGGCATGAACGTGCTGCTCCTGCCGACGGTCACGCTGTTCCTCCTGCTGCGGGCACGCCCATCGGCGGGATGGCCACCCCCGTGGACGCCGGCGGCATGGACATGCAGGCCATGCTGCAGAGCTGCATTCGTCAAGCCACTGATGCTATCGCTGCCACCTCCATGGCACAAGTCACGTCATGCCAGACGCAGCTGGTGCGCACGTTTCAGACCCAGCAGGAGGCCGTCAACCGATCCCTCGCAGTGCAGACGCGCGACATCGCCACCATCGGCCAGCGCGCCGACGCACTGGAGGCCGAGCAGGCCGCCATGCGCAAGCAGATCGGCGACATCAACAAGGCCTTGGCCCTCGCGGAGAAAGAGCTGCCCCTCATGGACTTCCAAGAGCTGGAGGCGTGGGCCCGTCAACCCAACCCGCGGATCTTCTCGATCGGAGCGCCGCAGTTGGTTGGTCCCGCTCAAGCGCTGCAAGGCCTCGAGGAGTGGATTCGCGCTGCCGGCCTCACCAACGACATGGTCCGCCTCGACCCCGCTGTCCCCTCCAAGCGCTTCAACGTCCTCGTGCAGGGTGGCGACGGTGTTGCACTACCCCGTGCCCAAGCTCTCGCACGGCAGCTACGAGACCCTGCTGGCAGGAACGGGTGGCGAGCCTTCTGCGCGCAGAGCGTCGGAGGGGGCACCGTCCCGCTGTACATCTCGCCCGACAAGTCGCCCCAGCAAGTGCGAATGGAGATCCAGTCGAGGAGGCTCTCGGCCCTGCTGGCAGAAGCTCATCCTGATCTCTCTTTCAGTGCTCAGCGAGCGCGGGGCATCGTCACCTCTCAGGGCGTCAAGGTTGCCAAGCTCGAGATGGGCGAATCCCGCTACACCGACACGATCATCAGGTGGAACCCAGACATGGTGGCCAGGCTGCACATCGACAGGGAATCCATCAACATGCAGTTCAAGAAGGCCTCCTCCGTGGAGGACAATACCGAGTGGATTTAGCACACCGCTGCGGGCGCCCTGGCGTCCCCCTGGCGCACGACACGGCTTCCGTGGCCTTCACATGGTTGCGTGGAACGCCCGTGGCCTGCTCCACTCGGATGCGAGGCTGCGCAGACGCAAGCTGGCGCTGCTTGCATCGTACATGAAGGTCAACGCCATCATCGCTGTGCAAGAGGTCCACGGCTCCGAGGACGCCCTCAGGATCTTCCTCCAGGCACAGCCGCAGAAGTACATGAGCTTCCTCTCCCCTGGCCCCTCTGCCGCCGTGGGTGGAGTCGCCTTTCTCGTCCCACGACTTGTCGATGAATGTCCAAGGGCGGAAGGACCCAGAGCCGAATCTCTGGGATGCAGGGGTGCCGCGCCGCGGGAGGGTCCCCATGCGTGCGCCTCGCCCCCTGCAGCATCCTTACCGACTCAAGATACCTGGTCAAGCTCACGTACCTCCGCATCTTCATCGGCTGCAAGTCGCCCCGACACTTGGTCAAGTTCACGAAGTCCGCCATCGACATCCATGTCAACGCCGAACTACACCTGGTCAAGCTCACGAAACGCCACTCCAGCCTTACCGTCCTACCGCTTCGTCACAGTGGCGGCCGGCCGCGCGGCGCCCCTCACGATCACTGACAGCGCGGGCAAGTACAGCATGCAGATCTTCAACATTCACAACTACGACCTCAAACCGCACGAGTTCTCTGCCATTCAGCGTACCTGGTCCAGTGGCTTGGCGTGGGCGCGCCGCGACTCGTTACACCGCGTCTTCCTGGGCGTCGGGGACTTCAACATTGCCTCCCGTCCGCCAGTCAGTCAACGGGCGCCCTCTGACGCTACGGCGTGGCGCCTACGACCTGACCGTCGATGCCAACTACGACAACCTGCGTGGCGCCGCCTCTTCGCTGATGCCATGGATATTGAATCCCAATGGCCGACTCACTACGACAAGTCCTGCAAGCAGCTGCCCACGATCGACCGCATCTTCTTGGGGATCGACGCGCACGCCATGTTGTCGGTCTCAACGATCCTGACCACCGCGAGGGATGCGATGGAGCTCTCTGAGGCTGGCATCAGCGACCACGCGCCCCTCGTCCTGCAGATGACAGCTGCTCGCCACGTCCCGCGAGACGAGCAGCCCATCCCGACGCACCTCTTCAACCACAGGAAGTACCCCGAGGCCTACTCGCTCATGCTGGCGCACTGCTCCCTAGCGGGGGAAACGGCGGAAGGTCGCTGGAGAGCAGCGAAGCAGTGCATGAAACTGGCTGCTCGACGTGTTCGGGACGAACAGCTGAGGACCAACTTCTCCCTCCTCGTCAAGGACTCCACGGTCGAGACCTCGCACATGGGCTTCAAATCGGCGGCGAGAGCCGTATGGCGTCAGGACGCTGTCTTTGCGGGCAGGCCCCTCGACTCCTGCCCCGCGCTGGCGGCCCACCTCCAAGTTACCGACGGCACCGTGCACATCGTGGATCCCAACAGCTTCGCCACTAACTTCGATGCCATCGCCGAGCGGGTGCACTCTATGAGAAGGCAGGTGGCGGAGGCCGCAGCACGGACAGCCAACGTGCGCGACAGTGCAGCCTGGCGGAGAGTCGAACGCAAGGCCGCCAGACACGCTCAGCTATGGGTTCCGTGGCGGCGTCGCATGATCCTCTCGGGCTTGCGCGTGGACTCCGCCCCGCGTGCTGCCAAGGACTCGCAGGTGGCTCAGCGCGTGGTCTCCGACCCCGCGGGCATGAAGACGACGGTGGCGAACTATTGGGGTGAGGTCTTCGCGAAGGTGCCGGACGCTGAGCAGCTCAAGACACTGGACTCATTCTTGGACAAGCATGCGCCGAGGAACCCTGTGGTGGGACTCCCTCAACCTGCCCTTCACAACCTTGAACGAGCGGTCAGCAGGGCACCACCAAGCGCTGCGGGACCTGACCAGCTGACGCATGCAGCTTGGCGCCGCAGCCCTGGAGCGCTGCAGCACCTCCACGGGCTCATGGAGGCCATCTTCAACGACGGAGTCGCCCCGCTCGACCTCAACTGGTCGATCTTCATCTGCGTCCCCAAGGGTACGGAGGAGGACGACGTCCCTGACTCATGCACGCGCACGGCATCCACGGTGCGCACCCTTTCCCTCAAGAACTGCGACGCCAAGCTGATTGCGGCATGCGCGGATCGAGGGCTCCAGCCTATCGCCACATCATCTACATCACCCGAGCAGAAGGGCTTCACTGCTGGGCGGCGTTTCGTCGACCACATCCCATTCTTGGACGCGGAGTGCCGCAGGGAGGGCCTCCTTCCTGAAGCTGCGTCCCGCCGCCCCATGTTCCTGTCGTTCGACTTCCGCCAGGCCTTCCCATCGCTCTTCAGGGAAGTCATCGAGAAGGTTTTCCCGCGCTACGGGGTCCCGCTGGGCTTTCGCAACGTGATCGTGGCGCTCTACAGCAACTGCCTCGCCTTCAGCTCTTTCCGAGCCGAGGGCACCAGTGCGGAGCTGGAGCCGCTGTTTGCGCTCATGTGCGGTATCATGCAAGGATGCCCGCTCTCTGGCACGGTCTGGCGCCTGGCCATGGATGCTCCCATCCGCGCCCTGTTGGCAGCGATCGCCGAGCATGGATCCCTCACGGCCTGCGTGGACGATCTCGGGATGCTGATCAAGAACGCGGTCGCCCTCCCGAGCATTGATCGCACCTTCGTTTCCATTGAGTTCGCCTTCAATCTGCAGCTGGCCTTGCACAAGTGCGTGTTGGTCCCGCTGTGGGAGGAGATCACGGACGACACACTGCAGAACGTCAAGTCATTCCTAGCTGAGGAGGCCCCCCGCTGGATTGGCTTCCGCATTGACTCCTCGGCCAAGTACCTGGGAACTCACCTGGGCCCTGGTGTCACGGACTTTGGCATTTGGAAGGCCGCGGCGGGGAAGTGGTGGTCCCGCTGCTGGGAGCTGGCGCGCACGGGCATGGCCACCAGCCTTGCTGCCCGCGCGTACAACATCAACGCGCTGCCGTGCCTGTCGTACCTGGCCCAGTTCTACTTCATCGTGCCCGCCATCTGGAAGGTCGAGTTCACCTCCCTGCACCGCTTGCTGCGTTTGCCACCGTCGTCCATGCGCAAGGCGGACATCCTTTCGATGAGTGCGTGGTGTGGCTCACCGTCGCCGATTGGCCTCTTCCCATGCACGATCGCCGCGACGATGCGCTCAGCGGAGAACACGGTGCGGGGATGGGAAGCTCACCTCCGCCACCTCCATGAAGCTGCAGTGGAACACGTTCCGCTGACCGATGTGATCAAGGGCAACTGGTCCCCTCCGTGGTGGCGAACGAGGAGGGCGATCGTGCAGAACTACGCCATGATCTCGGACTCCTACGGCATGCTCGACATCCCCAGACCGACGCTGGACTCGATCACGATCCCGATCCCGAGCAGATTCATCCTGAAGGCGAAGGCGGCGATGCTCCTGGAAACGAAGAAGGCGGCCGCTGCCACTCCTCCCAGGAAGCCCAAACGCCAAGCCACGGCTGCTGCTGTGCTCCGCGGCCTGCTGTACCCTGGGGACCTCGTCGCCACCATCCACCGTCGGCTGCGCAGATGGGGGGTCGAATGCCCGCTGCCCGTGCTTCGTGAGAGATGGCCCCCGCTGCGCAGCAAGCTGACGGAGGTCCGCCCTGCATGGATGTGGTCGTGGATGCGTACGGCGGTCAATGGCTGGACGACCTCGCGTCGCATGAGCGCCGTCATCGACGCTCGCCAGTGCATCTTCGGCTGCGACGACGAGGACGCACTCGAGCACTACATTCAGTGCCCGATCCTGAGGGCGATGGCCGCGGGCGAAGTGGGAGCGGACGCCATCGGCAGCGCCCTGGAGCTCCTCGGCCTCGGAGACGAGCAGTACCACTCGAAGCGGCCCCTCGTGGACTGCATCTACACCATCGGCCTCATGTGCCAGTGCTACCACATCCAGAAGAACAGGATGGACGTGGGCCTGGCCGTGGGCGTCGACCAGCGGGCCTCCGTGAGGCTGGCCGCGCTCCATCGCATGCAGGCTTAGGCGTGGTTGACGCCCAACCGGCCCGCCGAGCTTCGTGCCCTCCTCCTCCTCCTCCTCCTCCTCCTCCTCCTCCTCCTCCTCCTCCTCCTCCTCCTCCCCCTCCTGGGCCTCCAGGGATCGATCCTCGCCTCGGGGAGCGCGCCGCTGCGGGGGCGGCGGGGTCGAGGGCTCTCGCCGCAGCCGCGGCTCTCCGCGGGCGCTGCCCCCCTCTCGGTGCGCCACGGCCGGGGTCTCGGGGCCCTGGCGGCGGCGGCCAGCTGGCGCGGGAGCGCTGTTCGCCCCCTCGGCCTCTGCGTGTGCGTGATGGCCGCGCCTCTCCTCCCTCGGCCCATCGATCCTGCAATCCTCCTGGCTCTGGACAGCGAGCCCGATGACTGTCGGGCAGCGAGAGGCAGAAGGGCCCAGACATGCGACGTCCGGATTTTTTCAGGCCGGCGTCCCTGGAAGTCCCGGCCCTTTCCCCAGGACCGGTTTTTCGTCCTGAGTCGTTTTTTGACGGTCCCGAGGCCCAGCGAGGGCCCCCAAGGGCTGAAAACAGTGAGAAATTTGCTGTCCTGATTGTTTTACGACGCGATCACGTCTGGGGACGCTTCCACTCTCTCATCTCATCCTCTACCGACGGACACGACCTTAAGCCTTTTGTGGAGGGTCTCTTGTGGACCGGCCTCCGCTGTCGTCCTGGTTCGCAGGCCTAGAGGTTGACACCCACACCAATATCGGCGGTGTGCCTCCACCGAGAGAAGAAGATCCCGACCTCGGTGATGGTGGTAACATTCTGGCTTCCAAGGGCCGAACTATTGCCACCAACACCGAGATCTAGGATCATCTTCCCCCTGTGGAGGCAAACCCCCCGTGTTGGTGTTGGTGTCCATTTCCAGGCCTCCAACTGCTGGGGGGGGGGGGGGGCTCCACACCACCTCGGCGGACCCGGCGGCTCGAGAGGGCCGGGCCGCCGGAGGCCCGGGCCGACGGCCTGGGCTTGTCGCTCGAGGTCTCCGCTCGGCGCCGGATGCGCGGGGATCGAGCACCTCGGCCTCCATGGCCGCGGCGCGCGCTGCGCCGCGAGAGTCGGCTGCTCCCCCTGACCCCGCCCTCTACCGACGGGGGTGTTCTTTGCCTTTCCTCGTGCACCTCCTCGGGCTCTCCTGCTCCTCTCCCATTTCACCTGCCTGTGCTCCTCGTCTGGCTCTGGCTCTCGCGGCCGGTCGCACGCGTTCACATGATCGTCGGCAACGTGGCCCGGCAGTAGGGATCTATCGAGGGTAGAGCATGCTATACTTTGATATGCCTGCTCTTCTTCGTGCTCCTGCTCATGTTCGCCTATTCCTTATCCCCCTCTTCTGGCTTCTCCCGCTCATCCTTTTCATCCTTCTCCCTCCTCCTGATGCCTTGTCCCTCTTCATTCGGCCGCCAGTTTCCGGCCTCAGTCGGCTGTCTTTTGTGCGCCGCCAGCTGTATGCGAGTCGCCATTCCGCTGTCTTCCCTCTCGGACGGACCGCCGTCAATTGTGCATCGATTGTTTTTGTTACTCAGTATTTCCATCAGCCCGCTGATTATTGTAGAAAATTATTATTCCTCCGCCCTGATCCTCCCCCTCTCTCTCCTAGCCTCGCTCCTCCTCCCCCTCTTTCCGCCTTAGACGACTACGACGACGATGTAAACCTAGACGACTACGACGACGACGAGGACGACCACCGCGACGACAACTGAACATACCACCAAGACCGCGACGACCACGGCGACGACAACGACGACGACAACGACAACGACGGCGCCCGCGACCGCGATGGTGACGTCGTCGCCAGACACCCTCCGATATGATTATGTCAATCCGCTTCCCTGGGGCTCCTGCCATCTCCAGACTCCTTTCCTTGGAATCGATTTGCGTCCTGGATCCATGGATGGCCCCAGGCCACGAGAAGAGGCCCCCGAGGCCCAAATCGAGGAACTTCGCCAGGATTGAAAAAGTAATTTGAGGCGTTCCAAAAAAGTCTTTCCTTCGAGGATCGAAGGAGTTGTAATCTCTTCCGCGGCGGAAGGCGGCGGAAGGGCGGCGGATGGTCGGCAGAAGTAAAACGAGGCCGCCTCCGCCGGCAGAAGCAGGAGGAAGGGCGGCGGAAGGTGGCGGGAGTAAGAGTTGTGCCCCCAAGAGATGAAAACGTGTTGGGGTTCAGCGTTTCCAAAATCCCCCATACAGTCGTTTACCTGGTACTGTGACAACGGCGACGGCGGCGGACGTGACAGCGACCACGCCACTGCACCCCGGCGGCGAGGGCGCGTCGATCTGCACCGGGCTGCTCCTGCTGCTGGGCGGGGTCTGCATGGGGTTCGCCACCTACCACAGCGTGGACAAGATCGACGAGTCGATCGGAGGGGGGGAAGGAGGCGTGGACATAGGGGAACGAAGAACGACATAAACATAACAACTCTGAGGTCCGCGCGGATTTCTAGGATCCGCGCTGGGCCCCCCTGGCGTCGCCTCCAGCGCCTTCCCTGGCGCGCTCCGCGCGCCAGGGAGGGGATTTCAGCACGGGTCCAAGACATCCGCGCGGACCTCCGAGTTCTTATGTTTATGTAATTGTTGGTTCCCTTAGGACAGCCGACCTTGAGAGCCTGGTGTCGCAATCTTGTCTTACCACGCGCTTTCGCCTGTGTTCGGGCCCTGGGAGCCCCGGGACCATCACAGACTGATCCGGCTCGAAAATTGCCGTAAGCAGGAATTGGGTTTAGGGTTGCGGTCGTTCCCCCGGGGCCATGGGAGAGGAGCGGCTTGAGATGCGCGACTGGCCCTGGGGAGGGGGTCGGTAGTTTTGACGGGAGGGTGGGGCGAGAGGCAAGGATCAGGTTTAGTGTGCGTTGTTGTTTGCGCTTTTGTCGGGCATTCGGGATCCTGAAGGCTCCTCGTCCGCCTTTCTTCCCCTGTCCTCCTCGCCCTCCTCCTCCTCCTCCTGCTCCTCCTGCTCCTCCTCCTCCTCCTCCTCCTGATCCTCCTCCTCCGCCTCCTCCTCCTCCGCCTCCGCCTCCGCCTCCTCCTCCTCCTCCTCCTCCTCCTCCTCCTCCTCATCCTCCCCCCGAGGCCCCTCCTCCTCCTTCTCCCTCCTGGGTCTTGACTTCCTCTTTCACGCTCCGCCTCCTCCGCCTCCTCATCCTAATCCTCCTCCTCCTCCTCCTCCTCCTCCTCCTCCTCCTCCTCCTGCTCCTCCTGCTCCTCCTCCTCCTCCTCCTCCTCCTCCTCCTCCTCCTCCTCCTCCTCCTCCTCCTCCCCCTCCTCCTCCTCTCCCCCTCAACAATAGCGTGGACAAGATCGACCAGCAGATCGGAGGGGGAGGGCGGCCCCGACTTCGGGCGGATCGTTTTTTGTGCTCCTGTCGTGTTCCTCCGCTCCGGCCTTCGGTCCACCAGGGGGCCATCAAGATCCGGTGCGAGAAGCTGTCCCCGGGTATGGTGTCGAGGCTGAGGAGGAAGGATCTACCCAGACCCCCTCGATTTCTGAAAAAATCACGACGGGAGGTGTTCCGCGATCTTTGGCATCTGGGGGCCCTCGCCGGCCCTCGCGACGGTCAACAAAAACGACTCAGGATGAAACGCCAGTTCCAGGGAAAAGGGCCAGACCGCTGGGGATCCACGTCGTGAAAGCTTCATGACATCGGGGGTCTTGGACCACGGCTGCAAGCCTAGATTCCAACTTCCTCTGGCATCTCTTGAGCCAGATCCATCCGCCGAGTTTGGACGAAAATTCTTGCTGTGCCAAAGATCACCGAGCGCGTTCCACTACTCGCAATGTGCCCACTCGCAAACGTCCGAATACCACATGTCCGCTTTGATCTAATTTATCGTAGATTCCCCGCGGGGGATACAGGCCATTTGCGAGTAGTTACTTTGCGAGTAGTGGAACGCGTTCGCCTAACAAAGCAGCGCTGTGTTCTCAAGTTGGTTGTGGTCGACTTCGACGTCGTCGACGTCGTCGCCCTCGCGAGGGCGAGCGCCCTCAGAGGCGCCCAGGAGACTCCAGTCCGAGTGCACGGAGCTCGTCGACGACGACGCCGCGCTTCGCAGTCGGCGCAGACGACGTCGACGACGCCGTTGTCCTACATCGCCGTGCACGTTCCACTACTCGCAAAGTGCCTATCGCAAGCTTCCGATCTATACAGGTCTTCTTCTATGTAATATATCGTAAATCCCCCGCCGTGGATCTAGGCAATTTGCGAGTAGTTGATTTGCGAGTAGTGGAACGCGCCTGTCCACGACAGCCAAGACGCTGACTTTAGGGCCGCTTTGTCGGAAGGGGCTAGGACGAGGACAAATCAGTTCCAGAGCGCTCCGGAACCTCTGAGAGCCTTCTGGAACGCTCTGGGAAGGCCGCGGCGCGCGAGACATCCTCCAGAGACGCTGGCTCTCAGAGATTCTCTCTTCTCGATGCATCCTCGCCCGATTTTATCCCCGTCCCCAGGGAAACAAGCAATGACATAAACATAATAATCTGGAGGTCCGCCTGAATTTATCGGATCGGCGCTGGGGCCCTTTGGCGGCGCCTCCCCTGGCGCGCTCCGCGCGCCAGGGAGGGGTGTCCAGCGCGGATGCAAGAAATCTGCGAAGACCTCCGAGTTTTTATGTTTGTGTAGTTGTTTCGTTTCCCTAGTCCTGGCTCCGTCTGAACTTTGTGCTGGGGGAGTGCTCCGGCTTTCCGGCGGCCGCTCCTTGTCTTCTTTGGGCCGAAGAGGCCCTCTTCGTGGCCGCTGGGCTTGGCCAGACAGGCCCCGGCGAACGCAGGCGACGTCGGTCGAAGAAGGACATCGGCACAAGACACAAGACATGAGATGAGCTGTCGGAGACACGAGAAGAAAGAACGGCAACGTAAAAAAACGGCATGAGACACAATCTGCCGGAGTGGCGCGCGGATTTCTTGGATCGGCGCTGGGCCCATCCTGGCGGTGGCCCAGGCGCTGCCCCGGGCGCGCTCCGCGCGCCGGGGGGGGGGTCCAGCGCCGATGCAGGAACGC